CCCCAAAACCCCAAAACCCCAAAACCCCTTTGGTCAATTATAAAGAGTTAAATGTACTATTCAACATATTATCAAATAATATTAGAATTAAACAAATGCTCTCAATCGGTTTAAAATCTTTTACCAATAAGTATTTTCTTAAATATTTTATGAATATTTGATTTTGCAAAAACTAATATCCCTACCTTTCAAGCTTGATTACACTTATCTTCAAAATCATCACTCTTGCTCTTGAATAGTTTCTGCTTACTTCAAATCTTCTGGATTTAATTCATTCATTTAAGGATCATTATTTAAAAAGGATTCTAGTTTGTCATTTAACTTACAATGTTTTCATCTTTATTATCTGAATTATCGAAAGTTTAATTCTATTCAATGTTTGAGACTAAAATGCTTTGATTTTGGGAATCAAAGTTATTTAGTTCATCCGAAACATTATCTAATTTAAGTCTATTTTAAGAGTCTTATGACTTTACGTAAATTTTATTCTACTAGTTATTATCTAAAGCAGAAGAGTCGAAATTAAAATTTTAAGAATTGCTTTCAGGATTTTTAGGTAAATCATTACTATAGGCAACTTAATCAATTGGATCTGACATTTTTTATTCTGAATCATAATAATGAATAGCTTTTATTTATTTCTCATCTTCACTATTTTCTTGGCATTAATGATTAGTTTGAGTGAATTATGTCTATTATTCTTGGGTCTAATTTGAATTTTGATATTGGACTTTATTTGAAAGAGAAGATTATTTAGATTAATAGTCAATATTTATTTGTATTATACCGAATTCAGTAGCTATTGACTTTTCTCTAGTAATTCTTTTGACTTCCTTTTCAATTGTGTAATCAAATATATTTGAATTTCTTTTTTCTAAAAAACTCTAATACTGATCCCATAAATTAGCTTTAATCTTATAAACTTCTAATTAAACAAGCTTCTCATTCTGTAGATTGATAATAGATTTCATTTCAGACAGTTGTTAAACTTGATTAATTACTGGCTTTTCTTTTTTATGAATTTAGCATTAGCTGTAACATATAATACCATTTGATGGTTTAGTTAAGTCTAATTATATGGGAATCATTTATTAACTTAAAGATTTAGTTTATATTTTTAAGGAATTTATTTCAATTATTTTACTCTTTATGGGCTATTATGGTAATTTCTAATTATCAATTTTAAACTCTAATTACTACTGATTTATTTAATGATTACTAATTTGTTCTTATTTAAGAAGCTATTGCTTATTTTCAAAATTTGAGCAATCACACATAGATAATTTATTCAGATTATGAGACAACTTTTTTTATTATAATAAATCTTGATTCAGTTATTTTTAATCCTTATTTATTGCAAGATATTGAATAGTTTGTTAATTTATTATATTTGATTTTCTAGGAATAGGCTAGTTTATTCTTGAATAATTGATTTCAGCGTTACTAATTTCCTTTGTATTTTGATTAAAATTCAGATTATTTTAAACTAGCTTCAAATTGACATACTTAGTTCTTTACATAATTTGAATATTATGAGCTATTTGTTTAGTCATATGTTATTTTCTTAAACCATGATTAATTTGGCATGGAAGTTAAATTTCACTCTGTTTGAGTGCTTTCGGTTTATATTGACTAGAATTTAAGATTAATTCAAGCTGTTCATTTGATAATTTGACCTTCTTTTATTTATTCAAGCCTTAGAATTCTATGGCATTATACTGAGGTATTGCATCTTATACAGTTTTTCTAGGTAAATAACTATTATCGGAAAGCCTTTGATCTAAAGGTGTTTTGACCTATGAATAGATTTAGGCTATGCTTTGAATATGAATGGATTTAACAATAGGCTCATCAATTTTCTCTATCAACGCGTCAATCTCATTATCTTGAAGAATCTTTTTCTCATATTGGTCAAAATATGTTTCTTCTAAGAACTTGAGCACTCGAAATAGTCTCTTGCTGTAATCCGTCTTAAAATCATCTTCTCTTAGTTACAATTTCTTTAAATATACGAGACCACGCTACTAACTGTCATTTAGATAATTTTGAGAAGGATCTAAATTAAACAAGAGAGGACTATTATCTTCACATGCCAGCAGAATAGAGTTAATGATTGAAATGTAGTCATCTATTCTCCCATTTTAAAATCCTGCAAGTGATTGTAGTGATGCACTTAATTTGCTACCAACGAATTATTTGTTGAAATCTAGAGGTACTATCTTATCACCTACTATATATTCAGAAGCTGATCCAAAATCGATTAGGTAGAGCTAGTTATTCTTATACATAAAATTTTCAAGCTTTATGTCTCTATGGATATATCCAGTACGGTGCATAAGTCTAACTGCTCTAAAGCATTATTTGGTAAACTCCTTGATTTCAGATGGATCTCTCATATTTGTGTTTATTGGCTAATCTAGATATTCCATGATCAAGTAATTGTAAGGCTTAATAAAGCCAGAATCGTACAATTTAGGGAATAATATGTTTTGGCCATTCTTTTCTTAGTAATCATTAAGCTTTTTCAATATTTGTTGCTCATTCTTCAAAGCACCTCCATTATTTGAATCTTCCAATTTAACTGCATATAGTTACTTTTCCTGCTCATAGAGACATACCTTGCCGTTTCCTCCTTGACCAAGAACTTTGACAAAGCTATATCTTTTGATTTATTGTGGGATATCCTAGTGATTTGAATACATATTTATTATATATATGCAAGATTATTAATATAAAGTAATTTAGATTTTATACTGCTAGTCAACAAGTTTTATGCATTTTTGAATAAGGGGTTTTGGGGTTTTGGGG